TTACCTTCAACTATGTAGTGCAAGGGCCTGCCTGATTGCATACAAACTGAAAGTTTTCCGTTTGACCTCATATTATACGGTTTTTGGTAAATCTAAATTAAAATTGTATAATGTATAGCCAGCCTTACTAATACCATTCACAAGTGTCTGTATAAAGATCAATGAGTTTATGGAGCATTGCTGTGCTTCCCCATGATAGCTGTTATGCTAGGCAAACTGAGGCACCGCAATGACTTTCCATAGTTTTCTTGTCAGTTATAGCTAGACTGGTTAGCTTTATGTTGGGTAATACCCTGCTACTATTTATTATTTACTGGAATCTGGACATATACCTGTGTGGATGCTATGAAGGGCTACTTACCTAAAATTGTGAGAATATACTGTGTGTCTGTGTATATATATATATGTGTGTGTGTGTGTGTGTGTGTGTGTATATATATATATATATATATATATATGTGTGTGTGTGTGTGTATAGTCCTTTTCAGCATTATTTTGATTGCAGGAATTTTTTACCTCTAATATACTACACAACCATAAAAAAATAGATGTGGTGTGTGTGTATATATTAGATTATATTTATATATAAATATAATCTATCTCGGTGGAAAAATGCAACCTTTTTTTTCATTTTTTTTAAATGACAACATACAGGTCACTTGTATTTCACGTGTATATTTATCTTCTATTTTATAGTGACTGCCTATTAATTCCTCATTGTTGAAAATTAAACTATGGCAGTGTAAAGCCACTTAGTATAAATGAATAATATTCACTGTATAGAAGGTGCCTATATTGACTAGACATAAAAGATTCTGCCTGACCTATTTTCTATAAGAGATAAAGGACCACGCACTTTATACACACACCTATCACTAGACAACTGATTTTTGATATCTGTACTTTCTAACAGTTTTATCTAACGATTATGGTGGATTTGCATATTGTATAGAGGCATTGGTGTCCCTGTATGTATGGCATCATACCACCCATTAGACAGGCAGGTGCAGAGTGCTGTACAATCCCATATAAACGTATAGAATATAGAATAATGGCAGATTCTGGAGTACAGGACATTTTCATACTGACTACATTGTTTAATTTAATGTATTTGTTTTTTTTTTTTTCTTTAAATAAAATCAACATTTCTTTCTCGTGTAGCACTCAGATATATATGTAGAAAATCGTTGTTGTATTCTGGAAATGAATAATCCTAACACGATTAGATGAAGATACTAACAGACTAATGTCACAATTGCCTTCCCGTGCCCAGCAAGCTGTGCCCCCCACCCCAGATGTGGCATCCCTGCCCTGGGGATCACCCTGGTCCTGGTGGGAGATGTGAGCCTTGATGTCTCTGTCTGTGTTACAGGTCCAGTGGTGCTGAGCACCCCAGCACAGCTCATTGCACCCATCGTGGTGGCCAAAGGCACCCTCTCTATCACCACCACTGAAATCTACTTTGAGGTAGATGAAGAAGACCCCTGCTTCAAGAAGATCGACCCCAAAGTAAGTACATTTCATATATATATTGTGTGTGTGCTGCATTAGCCCAACAAACTAGAATATTTCTAAAGTTTATACATAAATGTGATTTAGTATTTTAGCTTTTTGCAGTCGTTTGTTTTTTAGTTTATGTACACTATGTCCCATAATATTTTAGATTAAAATTATAAAGTTATTCCATCTTTTTATAATTCTAATATTTTATGAATTAAAATCCAATCCATTAATTTTATATTACACCTTCGATATGCAGCATAATGTTATATGTTTATAATCATAATATTTTAAGTATTAAAATCAAATCCATTTATTTAATAACACTTCTCTATATGCAGTATAATGTTGTTATATGATATGTTTATAATTAGAATATTTTAAAACAAGTCCATGTATTTTATAATATATCTGCTGTATGCAGCATAATGGTATTATATAATATGTTTATAAGTAGAATATTGTAAGTATTGAAATGAAATCAATGTATTTATAATACATCTGCTATATTGAAATCCATGTATTTATAATACATCTGCTATATGCAGCATAATGGTATTATATGATGTTTATAATTAGAATATTTTAAGTATTAAAATGAAATCCATGTATTTATAATACATCTGCTATATGCAGCACTTAATTTTTATTAATTTTAAACTTGTAGGACGTTTTAGCGTTTATTTGTATTTCCAATTGAATTGTGTTTTCTTTAATATTTTTGATGCATCATACATTGTCGGGATTTATTTGGGTTCTAAATAGTTACTGACAAATGGCGGGTATTTTTGTGTGATGATTGCATCGATTATGGAGTTTTGTGATGTGTCCTTTTTGAAGGAAGTTAAATAGCATTTTCTAGCCTAGGAAAATAAATTAATTCTCCTGATATTAGGATAAATAAATGTTTTTGTTCTTCGGTATTATAAAAAAAATAAAACTTACTTTTATTTAAAGAATTACCAAAATAATAAATTAAATGCTAGTTACCAAAAACCGTTTTGTTATACTAGTAACGTTAAATATGTATTTTAAAAATATACAAAAATATTTCAATTTGGATGTGCAACAAAAGTGCTTTTTTTTTACTAAATTGTTTTTCTAAATATAATTTTAATAACGTTTTTGGTAAGGAATTGTTTGCCCGAGTTTGTTTTTATTAACGTTTCAATTTATTGCTATAATTATATTTCTGGTAATAGAATAACAGAAAAAAAATAAAAACAATAAAAATAAAATATAATATACCTCATATTAATAAAATAATAGAAACAGTGTGCTTTTATATTTACAGAGACTGAGGTTTAGGAATATGAACAAATAGGTTTTTTTTTTTCTGTGTATGTATAGATTTTTGTGAATATATTCTTCATTGTTTGAAATACTTTTCTAATATTACAAACTCCAGTGAATACAGAGATTAGTGTTGTTAGTGTATATTGTATACTATCGTTTATTTTAGACAAAAACAATGTACAAATGTTGATTTATCTCCGTGGCCGTAAATAAATGAATCCACTAATTTGTAACAATTATCCTTTGTAAATGTGACAGTTGTTGTTGTTTCTGTTATGTAATGTCACTGTCAGGAACCCTCCTCCTGCATGCACTACAATACATGGTCGGCCACTTTTATTTCTCCATTTCTGAAAGTGAAAGTATCTTCATTCTGGATGCTGAAAGAATCACGCCACTCTATATTTTTAGGTCATTTATTTGCTGATCATTAAATTAAAATTGGCAACAGTTTTTTTTTTTTTGTTTTAAATTCTAAAATCACAGAAGTCATTAAATCCAGTGTATCTCAAGTGCATTTTCAAATATATAGAATTCGAAGCGCCAGCATATAAGCAAAAAAAAAAAAAAAATCAAATTTCATTTGAATATATTTAAATAACATTTCAAGTATATTTATGGAATGTTAAGAATAGAACGAGCATTCTGAAACAAACAAAAAAAATGTAAACTTCGGAGTTCTGACACTTTTCATAGACATGAGAAAAGCTACCTTGTATCTTCAGAGCAGATTCTGTTCTTTTGTATCCAAAAGGGAAATGAAAACTTCACCAGATCACAGAACAACAAACAGCCACAACCTCAAAGACACTGCGAGTCACAAGATTCGGGGGACAGGGGGGTGATGATAAAAAAAAATGGGGTCCATGGGTGTGGGAGGTGTTTGTTCGGGTGGCAGATCCAGAGCTTCTTGTGTTTTATAATCCAGGTTCAGGGGAGGACGATGGAGCCATTGATTTTCAGACATGGAAATCGTATCAATAAAATAGGTCAGGCTGAAATGATTTCTTGCTCTGTCAACCTTCCTTTGTTTAAAGAAGCATAAAAAATTGTATCCATCTAAAATCCTTCTTGAGTATAAAAAAAAAATTGTATCCATCTAAAATCAGATTGGGGAGAAGTGCAGTGCTTAAGGGGAACAGAGCCTGGTGGCCCCAGTGCCATGGAATGGAAGGAAGTGGGGGGAGGGGGGGTCTGTAGTCCAGGGGAGTGAAGTGCCCAGTGTCTATGGGAGCTTTTAGAGCTTCTCCATGATCTTGGGGACTTTGGTGGAGAGGTTGGTTTTCCAGGTGAATGGAGGTTTCATCTGGTGGGTAGGTTTGTTGCCCAGGGAAATAAAGTATCCATGGAAGCTTTTAGGTCTTTTTCTTGGGGTAGGCTCTGTAGTCCAGGGGGGGTATGGAACTTTTAGGCAGGCTCTTGGGGTATGGGTGGGCAGGTCTGTAGTCCAGGGGAATGAAGTGCCCACAGGAACTTTTAGAGCTTCTCCAGGCTCTTGGGGCTTGGGAGGGTCGGTAGGTTTGCTCAGGAGAATGAAGTGTTCATGGAGGCTATTAGGTCTTATCTAGGCTCTTGGGGCATGGGAGGGTGGCTAGGTCTGTAGTCCAGGGGGATTAAGTGCCCATGGGAGGTTTTAGAGCTTCTCTATGCTCTTGGGTCATGGGAAGGTGGGTAGGTCTGTAGTCCCAGGGGAATAAAGTGCCCATGGAAGCTTTGGAGTTTCTCCAGGCTCTTGGGGCATGGAAGGGTGGGGGGTTGTATTCCAGGTGAATGAAGTGTCCATTGTCCATGGGAGCTTTTAGATCTTCTCCAGGCTCTTGGGACATGGAAAGATTGGTAGGTCTGTAGTCCAGGGGAAAGACGTTCCTAGTGTCAATGGGAGCTTTTAGATCTTCTTTAGGTTTTTGGGGCATGGAAGGGTGAGGGGGTGGTATTCCAGGTAAATTAAGGTTTCACCTGGGTAGGTGGCTTATATTCCAGGTGAATGACGTGTCCATGGGAACTTTTAGGTCATGTCCAGGCTCTTGGGGCATGGAAGGGTGGGGATCCAGGTGAATGAAGGTTTCACCTGGGTGGGGTGGTTTGTATTCCAGGTGAATGTAGTGCCCAATGTCCATGGGAACTTTTCGGTCTTCTCCAGGCTCTTGGGGGCATGGAAGGGTGGGAGTCCAGGTGAATGAAGTGCCCAGTGTCCATAGGAGGTTTTAGAGCTTCTCCAGGCTCTTGGGGTTGGTGAGGATCTCCCGGGCCAGCCTCCAGGTCTGCTTGGCGGCGTTCTCCAGGGAGGAGTGGGGTTTGCCCTGGAAGAGGTCCAGGTTGGGCAGGAAGTAGTGCGGGCACCTCCGGCACTGCAGGCAGGAGATGAGTTGGAGCAGGATGCCATTGAGCCTGTCGCCTAGGCACGCCTCGTCCCAGTCCGACTCCCTGGGGTGCTTCTCGCACTCGTAGGAGACCAGAGTCTTCATGTGTAGTTGTTGAGGGGCTGGCCGGGCAGTTCCAGATGCCGGTCCCGGAGGGTTTTCAGCAAGGACAGGCATTTCTTCCTACAGCCGCCCAGCTGCAGCCGGTTCTCGGCCTCGGCGAACTGCAGCACCCAGGCGTCACTCTCTGCCGAGCTCTGCTTGCCGGCCAGGGTATGGCACTCCTTGGACAGCAGGTTGAAGCCCTCCGCCTTGACCTCGGCCACCCGGTTGGGGCCCGGCCAGGGGATGTGGGGTAAGGGCCAGTGGGCAGCGCTGCGGGGCCAGATGCCAGTACACTTGAAGGCCGGGGTGATCTGCACCACGTAGCGGTCCCGGATCCTCAGCTTGACCTCGCTGGTGTCGGCCACCATCTTGACCACATCCCTGTAGCTGCACTTGTCCACGGCCTGGGCCACCAGAGTCTGGAAGCGGGAGCGGATCTTCCTGGCGGACAGGTAGCCGGAGGCGGTGATGAACTCCACCCACAGGGACATGCTCCTCTTCCGACCATCGCTCAGCTTCAGCACCGCACAGCCCGGCAGGGAGCCGTCATCCACGAAGTTGAAGACCCCCATCTGGTTGAGGTAGAGGACCACCTCGAACTCGGTGGGGGAGATGACCTCCAGGCCCTCGTAGCGGTTGTCCATCTCATTGAGGGAGCTGATGAAGCGGGGCTCCTGCACCTCCACCTCCTTCAGCACGTCCGACACCACCTTGCACACCTCCCGGATGGTCTTGGCGATGGCCGCCTTCCTGGCCTGGCACTTCTCGTTGTAGTACTTGTTCAGGTGGTAGACCAGCTTGGCCTGGGCGGCGATCATGTTGGGGCAGAGATCCGGGTTGTACACCGGAGTCTCGCAGTAAGCCGACGGATCCAAGGCGGCTGCTGGGGAGGGAGCCAACTTTCTGCAGAAGAGCCGGGGCTCCCGGGCTGGAGTCAGGACGGCGGATGGGGCCCCTAGGAGGATGGCATGGAAGGGGGGACACGCTCCCGGCCCCTCCTCCGGCGCTGGGCACCACACGAGACAGAGGGAGGGAGGGGGACTGTAGTCCGAGCACGGTCCCGGGGACAGAGGACACTCTACACCGTCTATGGAGCTGGATGGGGAGTACTACTGAGCCGTTCATATAAAGGGAGGGCCGGGAGAGCGGCCAATCGCCATCAGCACAGTCTCCGCCTTCACCCGAATCACCCCCCACCCCCTCCCCCCAAAATCTCAGTCTACTGTGTGTATGGAGAGGGCAAGGTGGGCACCCCACCTGTCACCTACCTATCATCATCATGGGGGGGGGGGGGGGTCTATGGAGGGATCATTCACCTCTGTCTGCAGAGTAAAAGACACTACTTCTACTATCTGTACATTTCATCATATGGGGGGGGGGGGGGGGGGGGGGGGGGGCACAAGGTATATATCATCTCCTACAATCCTCCTCCACACCGGACTACACTCTATTCCGCCTGTACAAACTACACAGCCATTTATAGCAATAGTAAATACACACACACGTGGCATCGATCGATCTCTGAGTTATCTAATTGATCGATCTATCGAATTGGTCCATCTGTCTATCGTTCTCTTTTTCTCTTTCTTTCTGAGTAATCTAGTTTATCGATCTCGAACAGGTTTATCTGGTTATCTATCTGATCGATCTCTCTCTTTATCATATATATATATTTGATCTATCATTCTCCAATTGATCGGGAGTTGGTCCATCTATCTAACTGCTCTGATCCCTAGTTCTCTCTCTCCGCTATCTATTTAATGGATCTCAAAATTGGTCTATCCATCTCTCCATATAAATTATCATCTGTCTAATTTATTTATCTCTGGTTTATCGATCGCATCTATCTATCTATCTATCTATCTATCTATCTATCTATCTATCTATCTATCTAATTTTAATTTTGGATCGCTCTAACTGCTCTATCTATGATGATCTCTGATTGATCGATCTAACAAATTTGTCCATCTATTTCTCTCTCTGATCACTCTCCCTCTCTCTGTATGTCTTCTATCCCTCACTCTCTCATTTTTCTACCCAAGTTGATCGATCTAATCTATCTCCAGTATATCGAACTTTCTAATTTCTATCTATGTCTCTCTCTGATTTATTTATATCTATCTATCTATCTATCTATCTATCTATCTATCTATCTATCTATCTATCTATCTATCTATCTATCTATCGTGTGTATATATATATATATATATATATATATGTATATGTATAATTGTTTTTCTTTCCTGTATCTCTGAATGCACTGATTAAATGGACATCGTGTGAATACAGCGGATGATGATCTGTATGTGTGAATATGGTGTAGCTGTGTAATTGTCGGTGTAGTCTACACCCCGATCAGATTGTCAGTATTGTTGAAGATTTGATGTCCATTGAGTTGAGTGTAGGAAGGATATGATGGAAGCGGTGCTCCGGGTCGATGTGTATATGTGGCTTCCTTCTAGGATTTCTCGCAGACAGTCGGGGAGAGATCGGTGACAGCTTTTGTTTTGTAATGTTGGTACATTTCTGATCGCTTCGTCCTAATTGGGCTGCGTTTGTGTTTTCTCGGGTTGGTTCCTGGGTGGGATGGATGGATGTCAGGACTGTCATCTCCATGCTCATCCTCAGGATATCTTCTTATTGATGCCGTGTCACCAGCAGAGGATGGCTTAGCCTGTCACATGGAGTGTGCTTCCCTGACATCACACCTACCCCATGTGTCTGAGGACATGGAGGGGGTGGCTAGGCTGCATCCAGTGCAGGGCCAGGTCTTCTCCATTGATACATATACTGTATATATGCTGGGATTGTCCTCTATAGGCAGACAGGGGGGTTATGATGAACTTTCATCTCAGGTCGGGGATAGTATACAGTGCAGTACATGTCCAATGGTCACAATGGGTAGAGGTTCAGTCTTCACAGTGACAGCTCCATCCATAATACTGTCATCTGGTTATTACTGGCTGATAATAGGGGCCATCCTGATACAGGGAAGGGGGCATTTCATGTTACACAAATAAAGGGATTGCATTTATTGGTGTTATATATAAAATTGTGATTAAGATTCTCCAACAGTTTTCCTTGTTACAGGGATGGACCTGGTAGATTATTATATCATGATGTATCAGTGCATTGTATAGTGGGGGGGGGGGGCACATACTTCTAGATTGTATATAATGGTGTATCAGTATATTGTATAGTGTATAGTGGGGGGGGGGGGGCACACACCTCTAGATAGTATATCAGTATATTGTATAGTGGGGGGGGCACACACCTCTAGATAGTATATCAGTATATTGTATAGTGGTGGGGGGGGGGGGGGCACACGCCTCTAGGTAGTATATCAGTATATTGTATAGTGGGGGGGGCACACACCTCTAGATAGTATATCAGTATATTGTATAGTGGGGGGGCACACACCTCTAGATAGTATATCCGTATATTGTTGTATAGTGGTGGGGGGGGGGGGCACACGCCTCTAGATAGTATATCGGTATATTGTATAGTGGGGGGGGGGGGCACACACCTCTAGATAGTATATCAGTATATTGTATAGTGGTGGGGGGGGGGGACACGCCTCTAGATAGTATATCAGTATATTATATAGTGGGGGGGGGGCACACACCTCTAGATAGTATATCAGTATATTGTATAGTGGTGGGGGGGGGGCACACGCCTCTAGATAGTATATCAGTATATTATATAGTGGGAGGGGCACACCTCTAGATAGTATATCAGTATATTGTATAGTGGTGGGGGGGGGGGCACACGCCTCTAGATAGTATATCAGTATATTGTATAGTGGGGGGGGGGGCACACACCTCTAGATAGTATATCAGTATATTGTATAGTGGGGGGGGGGGCACACCTCTAGATAGTATATCAGTATATTGTATAGTGGGGGGGGGCACCTCTAGATAGTATATCAGTATATTGTATAGTGGGGGGGGGGCACACCTCTATAATGTAGTATTGTATCATGGTGTTTCACATACATTTATATTGTATCATGGTAAAGATCGGTACAGTAAGGGGGGGGGGGGGGTACTGCTGGTGAATGTTCCAGGTGGTGCCCAGGTAGGTTGTGTACAGGGCCAGTTGTTGGTTGTTACAACCCCAGAAACATTGTTGCAGTGAAGATGTCCGGGAGGTGTAGACGGTGATACATTGTTGTGATGTAGGGAAGGAGAGATCACACTCATGCCAGGTAGAGATGGTGACATTGTGAAGTGGGGTGCTGTGTACAGTCTGTTGCAGTGAAGTGGAATATGTTCAGGTACAGGGTGATACGTTGTCGTACAGTCGGTGATACTTTGTTACAGTGGTGTGGTAGATTAGATTTAGCCGGTGGAGTGCTGTGTACAGTCTGTTGCGGTGAAGTGCTGCGTACAGTCGGTGATACATTGTTGTGGTGAATGGAGCTGTCAGGTCACACAAACCCAGATGCGCGCCCCCGACCAGCGTACTCCAGGCAGTGCGCGCTCAGGCTGACTTCTGTCCTTCCATAGAGTGATGTGTGCGCTCTCCTTTTTGGCTCAGAGTCGGGCTCCGCACTGCCCGCACTCACCTCCCGTCTCTTAGCAACCGCCAGCGGTTCTTAACCCTCCCGGCACCGCAGCGGCTCTTCTCACCTCTGCTGAAAGGACCCCCCCTCCACCCCCCCGTGCACATCTACACCATAATCCCGGGAGAAGTGACACACCCTACGGGGAACATCACTAATAAACTCTTCTACTACAGAACCGGCGCCGGGATTGTATTCTGGCTCCATTGTTTCCGTGCATGGCCAATACAAATCCCTACTGAAGGAATCGCATCAATCAATTGGAATCTACTGCAGTTTGTTTTTGTTTAATTTTTTTCATCCATGGTTTTATTATTTATTATTACTATCATTACATTATGTTCTATTATTAAATCATTAAATATTACTTTATTATTATCATTACATTAGTTGTTATTGAATTAAATCATTAATATTACTTTATTATTTTATTATACAGGATTTATTATTAATTATTATCATTACATTGGTATTGAATGAATACATTATTATTATTATTATTATTACAGAATTATTACATTGTTATATTAAATCATTATTATTACATTATTATTATTATTATTATTACATGATGTTTTTGAATGTTATTATTTTTATTTTTATTCTTATGGTTTCTCCACTGGCACTGGCAGAGCCCTCTGTTTTGGAAGTGTTTGCCCTGGTGAAAAGTTGCTTGCGATTTTTGAAATCAGTAATTCCACTGCCTGGAGCCAATTGTGCCTGGTTGCCTAGCAACCCCTCCATTATAGCCCAGCAAATGTCATATGAAGTCATTTTTATGAAATAGAAAACAAATGGGAAGGAATGGCTCCCAGGCCGTTTTTTTTTTTTTGCATATTGTATTTGTATAAAGGAGACTTTCATTGCAGATCATGTAACACTGGAGACTAAATTAAGGTGAAGGTAGGCAACACAGCGCAATATCCACACACAGTAGAATAAAAACCCATTTCTGGGGAATTATCGCCTAAAAAAACAAAAGCCACTGAATTTGTATCTTTCCGAGTCAGTAAATATCTGATAACAAGAGCAACTGTACTCTAACAGATTTACATTTAATTTTCTCCTGAAAACAGAAATGTGAGGTGCAGGATCAGCAGAGCCCAGAGGGTGGATTTTATCGGGGTGGGGGGGGGGGGGGGGTACCCGGGGACACATGCTGTACAAAAGGAAACAATTTTCAGAGATGAGGCCAGCAAAGGTCACTCTGTAGACAGGAATACAATAAGTGAGGAGAATTCTGCATGAAGGCAATTCTGACAGGGCACAGCACAGAACAACGCCTGCAACTATTTCCCTTCACCTGGTCACCATCTAACATGGGGTGCTACATACAGACTGTGCATTTCATTTCACCTTCCTTCAACTACTCCATATTAAATGGTGTTAAACACAAAATATATTTCTGTG